TAGGAAGGGAAAAATGAAGGGGGGTAAATCGGAGGGGGAGACGATCCATGAGAGACTATGGACTCCGAGAAACAAACTGAAGATTCTAGAGGGGAGGGAGTGTGGGGGGATGGGTTAGCCTGGTGATGGGTATTAAAAAGGGCACGTACTGAATGGAGTACTGGGTGTTATATGCAAACAATGAATCATGGAACACTACAACAAAAACTAATGATGTAATGTATGGTGATTAACATAATAAAATTAAAGAAAGAAAGAACCAACTGATAGTTACCAGAGGGAAGCTGCGTGGGGGATGGGTGAAATTGGTGATGGGGATTAAGGAGTACACTTGGGATGAGCACAGGGTGATGTATGGAAGTGTTAAATTACTATATTGTACACCTGAAATGAATATAACACTATATGTTAACTGGAATTAAAATAAAAAGTTAAAAAAATAAAACAAACCATACAAAAAAAAAAAAAAAGTGACTGGGGGACATTGTCCATATCCCCATATTTTAGTTCTTGGAAACATTAGATTTTTAACTCCTAAAAGATATATTCCATTTATAAATTTTACTCCCACTACTATACACATCTAGCATGGTATACAAAATACTATCCACATCTAGCGTTTATGTCTAGCACATAAATATATTTTTTGATTAAATAATGTAAATATAATTATTTGATCTTCTGCATATATTTTTTTCATACTTTTGAAAAACTCATGATTGAAAACCATGCATATCTTGACACTATTGCCTAGATACTTTGGAGGAAGAACTTGGAAGCTGATTCAGGTAGAAATCCTGTATTTACATCAGAACAGATTCCAGCTCTCCACAGCACTTGCTGTTCATTGATCTGAGAATTGTTTACCGTGATAAGGTCAGCAAAAGCAATGACTGGAGGTGGATTCTCAACAGGAGTGATCATGATGGTAAACATCTGATTGTCTAGATGGTTGTGGTCCGTATCGGAGACAGAGAAATGGAAGCCATCAGTAACCAGATTACCATCAGTCTCATACACAGCTGAGTACCTACAGAGGTGAGGACAAGAATCAAGTGAATGAGCTACATGACAAGCCAGGTAAGATGGCTGCATCTCTGTTTAAAAAGGGGGCAATATAATCTTTCGAGGGAGCTACTGGTTAGTTGCTTAAATATTTTAATACAATTTTTAAAAACTCTGTCAAGTAATAACAAAGTGGTTATATACCTAATTTTCTGGTTGTTGATGTCTTCCATTGTGAAATTGGAAACCTCTGAGAGCTCTTCCACTTCAGGTCCTGACACTCTTAAGAGAGCACCATACGTGGGCAGAGAACTTAACTGAATCCAGATCTCTGAGTCGGGGGAAGAATCATCCTAATCAGGCAAATATGAGGCAAGACATGAACACACATTTGTAGGAATAAATACCTCCAGTAGTTAAAGATCATGGGTGCTTACTTCTCTGCCAGCTGAAAAAGTCTCTTTCCCTTTGTGATAAAGCAACACCATCTCAAAGTGCATGAAAATTCCATCATTATCACCCACCTAATACCTCTTTGATAATGTCTTCTTTCCAGAGTAGCTCAAGATAATAGTGAGGAAATGCACTTTAGGTATGGGGCATAAAACAAAGAGATGCCCTATTGTTGCTATAAGAGCCACACAGGGTTGCATTTTTATTACATGCATCTAGTGAAGAACAAAACATGGTCAGAGATATAAGTCATCTTCCTATAAACACGATTGTAGGTTTCTTTCAGAGCTTCAAAGGATGGTTTGCTTTTCAGAAACAGGTAAAATTCCATTATAACATATAATACAATGATAAAGAAAATTCTGTGAAACAGAAAGAAGGGAAGTTATTTAGTTTAGCCAGTGACTCACCCTAAGTAATATTTGACATGGTAAAAATTTTAGTTTAACAGAAAAATTTAGGAAATCTTACGGATTTCATTCCATCAGGATGGAACCTACAGACGCTCTACCCACAGGATGACCAATCTTAAAGACAATTTTACTTTCCTTCTGCATTGCTTATTAAGAAATAAAACTGGCTTTCTGTGTTTCTATGCGGACAATAGTTGTAGGTCTTAATGAACAATTTCCTCTTTCTTTAAGGATATTGTGGAAATATCTAGGAGGCCGGCAACATCTTTTTGGAGAGTTGCCCTGAGTCATTCATCTTTTAGAGCAGTTGGCTGTGAACATGGGGGCACTTTTTACTTTACCACAGCAACAATGAAAATAAATATTGCATGGTCAAGTGTACTTTGAAATGCAAATTTCCATGGGTATGTTGTATAGCTGGTTGAAGTATGGATCAGGAATGTGCTCAGGATACCTGGTGATCTGGGGCAGAGGATTTCAGTCAGTTCTTGCTTCTACCCCTAGGGGCCTTTTTAAATAGACAGGTCGGAGCCTCAATGCAAGGTCACAGAATTTTCCATATCTCCTTACATCACCTGACACTAGTAAGGAAGGAAACTCAAATTCATCAAAGTTGCAAAACTTCAGAAAATTTCCCCTAAATTTGTACTTTAAAAGTTTCTCTATTTTTCCACTTGGGTTATCAAATACAATATGCAGACTTCCAACAGACTACTTTCTAATATTACTGTGAGTACCCTCTGAGAGAATTTGTAAAAGACAGCTAAGAGTTCTAAGGTACTGTCTTCTAGGATGGTGATAAACTATAAGGACAGAGCTCCTGGCTCTTGCTTAGAATTAATAGCTTCAAAATTCCACATTGGCAAATTTGGCAAAGAAATGCTTCTTTCATGTCAGGCACATTTATTTTAATGTTTCAAATCTCAAATGACTGCTGGGTTTGAAAAAGTGTGAAATAAGCTAGCTTTTTTTCTTCTGAAAATGCTATCATAATTTCAGAAAATAATTATTTTTATAATTAATGAAAATTACTACTTTGGCATATCTAAGATACTATGGATGCAAAAAATCTCCTAAGAATGTAGACTTTGTTTTTATGTAATTTTCCTACCTTCTTACCCCTTTTGTATTAGCTCATTTTTCATTTTGTTTTTATTACTTATACATCTATTGACCACCATTCAACACAAGGACTAGAACACCGATAATTAACAGTTATGTATGTGTTCCTCCTTTACCCTGTCCTTGGGCCTCCCATCACCCTGGGTCTTATTTCTCATATCCCTGAATTTCTTGATATTATTTGATATATTACTACAAAGTATTTTTAGTTGTTTTTTAAAAAAACTTATGAAAAGAGAATTAGACTTTCTCTTGTGGGACTTACTTCCCTTTTTACTCAATAGTGGACTGCTAAGATCCATCAATATCATTGTATGCAGCAACAGTTCATCTCTAGAGAAAGTATATCACAGGTTATATTATCCTGTTGATGGGCATTTGTCTTGTTTCAATATTTTTGCTATTACAAATACTATTGCTATGAATTTTCTTGGGCATATCGTCTGGTGTACATATGAAAATTTCTCTTAGAGAGGAATCTAGGAGTGGAATGGTTAGGGTATAGGACCACTCATCCTCACAAGACAATGCCAAATTCTTTCCCAAAGTGGTTTGTTCCAGTTGACTCTTCCATCAGCAAAGAACCTTCTGCAGATCCATTTCCTCTCCAACTTTTGGTATTTTCAGACTTTTAAATTTCTGCCAATTGAATTGGTATCATATGGTATGTAGTCTTTTTTGCTTTCCTTGATGCCTAAAAAAGTGATTATCTCTTTTTATATTTATTGGCCTTATGGGTTTCTCCTCTGAAATTCCTATTAATGTTTCTTGTTCATTCTTCTACTGGGTTACCTTTTTCTTCTTGATCTGCAGAAATTTTTTATATTTTCTTTGTTATTTTTGGTTATATGTATTGCAAATACCTGTTTCCAATTTGTAACTTGCCTGTTTTCTGTATTTCTGGTGGGTTTTGGGGAATATAAATTTAATTTTAATATAGTCAAGTTTATTAATCTCTTCTTTATAGTTAGGACTTTTTGTTTTTAGTTTAAACAATCTTCCCTTTCCTAATATCTAAAAATATTCACCTATATCCTACAAAGAATTGTAAAATTTCAGTGCTTGATTTGCCCAAAGTTAATCTCTGTGTACAGTGTGTACAAGTTCTTTTATCCATATGAATAATCATTTTGTGCAAGTCTATATTTTAAATAGTTCCTACTGTTTCCACTGATCTGGCTTACTGTATCTGTTTTATATTACAGTCCCATGTGTCGGTCTGTTTCTGGACTCTAGTATATTCCTGTGCTACACTGCTTTAAATAGTGCAGGTTTATAATAAATTCTGATATTTGATAGGGCAAGCCCCTGTCCTCCTATCATTCTTTTTCAGAATTTTGGCCCTTCATTCTTTATTGTAGAATCAGCTTATCAAGATCCATAAAAAGTGCACTGGGCTTTTGACTGGAACTCAACTGAATGGAAAGATCAGTCTGCAGGAGAATTGATATCTTTTTGCTACTAAATCTACCTATTCATGCATATGGCACATCTCATCATTTATTGGGTGTTTTTAAAAAATGTTTGTCAATTAAGTGTTATAACTTTTCCCATAGAAGTACTGTCTAGTTTTTGTTAGATTTAGTCCAACAGACAAGATTTTTATAATGCTATTATAAGGGGTGTCATCTTTTTAGTTACATTTACTGGCTATTTTTTGCTTATGTCTAGCAATCCTATTGCTTTGTTGATCTTCTATCTGACCCCTTGGTAAATTCTCTCTTTATTTCTAATACTTTGTCAAGAGATTCTTTTGGATTTTCTTTAGTTGGGCATTGTATCAATTTTCCCTAGAAATTACACATTTTTTGTTACATTTATTCCTAGATATGTGTTATGTGATGTTATTAGAGATGTTATCATATTTTGAACTATTGTATTTTTGGCTGGTGCATAGAAATGCTGTTAGCTTTTTAAGATTAATCTTCTATCTTCCTCCCCACACACTGCAGATGAGAAAATTGAGTCCTAGAGAGTTAAGTACGCTGCCAAGGGTTACTATGCCTGTAAGTGGTTAGCCTGCTTTAAAACTCATCCATTCTAACTACAAAACATCCCTCCACTACTTGTTTACCTGCAGTACATAGCAAACTGTATAGGAAACCACCATTAAGAAACAAATCACAGGGGCGCCTGGGTGGCTCAGTTGGTTAAGCGACTGCCTTCGGCTCAGGTCATGATCCTGGAGTCCCGGGATCGAGTCCCGCATCGGG